GTATGTCTTATTTCCTTTCTATTCACAACGCACAGAGTGCAAAAGCAGTGGATATCCTATTCCAAGGAACTTTGACCATAATGTTTAAATGGGCTTTTGTTTCGAAAAAGTTATTTAAGTACGGTTCCAATATTGATTATTGTGAAAACAATCTTAAGATATTTCAGTCTTGGCCGGGCGATGGCTTTTGAACGACTTTCTTTACGACCGCTGACAAAAAGCATATCCCCAAAACAAGGTTTCCTAGGTAATGCGCATTTTTATCGATGAAGTGTGGTGGTTTTATAAATACAAATATATTTTCTATAAAACAGCGTAAAGATATTTTTACCCATTTTGTTGACATTTACATCTTCTCTAAACTCCATAAAAAGAAAGCGGTATCTTTTAGTTTTCAATGTTTTTCGTTATGAGATGTTTCACCACCGTATAATTTTCATTCATAGTACATCGCATCCGTCAGTTCATTAATCTTGTCTTTAAAGTATAAAACATACTCTTACTCCATTGAAAGCTTTATAAACATTGTTTGACCACGCATTTATATCGTGGCGAAATGTCCAGTTTTTCTTAGTCAATATGCCGTTTGGAAACACTGAATTCAATTGTATCAGATGCATATGTACCATTGACAGATTGCCAAGATCCGTGAGGGAATATTCCGCACAAAATGTTTGTTCTTCTTAACACCTAGTTACGTAGGACTGACTGTCTGTCGAAAGTAAATTTGTCGGAACTAGAGATTATAGTCAGCTTCGTATAAACTGGAAGGCAGGCATCCCAAAAATGTCATTTCAAGGAAATGCGTCCTTTCGGAAAGTAAGGAAAATCATTCAGTTCATTTTCGACACCGGAACTTTGAAATTATAGTCTGCTATTTACTATTTACATTAACAGTTTCCGATATAATTTCACAAAATGTCCTTTCGCTCAAACTGTGCTCTCAGTATTGCTTATCCCTCCTCGGAGACCTTAGGTTTTGAGGTGACTGAATTTAAGTATAAGCAATGGTTTTGTTTTAGCATAAGGAAAGAGATATAAGTCGTGGGCTTCAACCTGGGAAATTAGAAATATTTTACGTTACTCAGTCACCTATTGCTAGTTTAATAATCCGGAATTATTTTCCCTACTGAGAGCTAAAAACTTTCACCTACAGATTGGTCTGTCAGCTTGCTAAATAATGGCGTAGCTGTATACTACTGACTGCCTGCTAGAAGCTTAGCCGTATTCCGCGGTTATGCGGCAGTAGATGATAGATGTCAACTTAAATAGTTGGTAAGCACACAACATGCAACTCTATTTATTGTGTTTGTTAAAGCTACGATTAATTTCCCGGCTAGTTAACTCGCACAAGTATTTTTTGGCTGTAGGAATACCGACTTTTCGGGTCACTTAACAAATTTCCAAGTGGAAACTATTAGGACTCCATGAGTGTTTCAAGACGCATCAGGTTTACAGTGGTAACAAAACATTGCGTAGAGCCTCATTCTTGCTTCTATCGAGTGTCTGGTCAGCTAAAAATGACTACGCATATAGTAGTCGGTGTGACGTAAAGTCACCGACTCTCGTAGGCCGCAGACGTGTCGGGCAACAAATTTCTTGTGCAACCCTACTTATCGAACAACGAGTGCTTATCCTGATGAATACAATGGATGGGGTTAGGCTTATGTTTTCCTTTTCCGTCATTTGGCCTCTACCGCAAAACTCCTGTTACCCCTGGTCTCCTATTACAGACTGTGCTTGTATATTGCGTCCTTGTCAAATAGTCATGACAACTCTCGGAATGAGCCGGGCAACGTTATTTACGACGGATATACTCCAAGTTAACGAAGCAATGTTCTCAGAAATTACACAAGGCAGTTAGATAAACCTGAACGCTTGCACTTGGAAGTCTGATTACGCACGATCAAAAGTTTTTTGCATTACCTTTCTACTCTGATTTAGAAAAAAACAGCAGGTGGTGTCTTCTCACGGGCAGGCACCATCCTTTGCTCTAACCAATAGCTGACCGAGCAGGGCACGTTGGCTACCGAATCTTTCCAATCAGCTGCCAACGAGTCAGCATATAGTGTGTGCTGCATCACATGGCGCAGATCCTCATTCTTGCTCCTATCAAGTCTCTGGTCACCTAGGAAGGACAACGCACGCAGTGGTCAGTCCGACGTAAAATCACAGACTCCCGCACGCCACACACGTTTCGGGCAACACATTTTTATGCGACTCCACTAATCAGACAACTAATGCATGCATGGGTTTAGGTTGACGCTCTCCTTTTCTCGTTTAGCTTCATCGGCCAAACGCCTGTTACCACCGGTTCCCTACCATTTGCGGCTTGAGTGGGATCGCATACGGTGTCCTTGCCAAAAAGTCATAGCAACTTTCAGACCGAACAAAATACGGCTTGTCCCGAAATATTTGCTAAAAGCTCGCGCATTTATTTTCTCCTAACTTGAGAAAGCAATTTGATCATCTTGAGTGCTTAAAAATCGACGTCTGATTTCACACAAACAAACGTTTTGCGCATTACTTCGCAACTCTAGTTTAAAAGACACAACATGGTGCCGGCCTCTTAAAGACAGGCATCATTTTCGGTGCCAGCCAATAGCCAAGCGAGCAGGGAGTGATGGCTGCGCAACTGGCCAATCAGCCGCCAGCAAAGCATTAAGTAGCGCATGTTTGACAACATGCACGTGCCTGTGCATCTGCATACCAATTTACTCTGAGTCAGAGCACCAGATTAGTAATGTTGCCTACGCAAAATGCTCACAAGGAGACCGACGAGGTCCTACTTCAGCGCGCGGTTGCTCCTTTATTACGGCTTTATCCGCGCGATCAGTTCCATTTTCTGGCCCAGTCGAGGGGACCGTAGTATTAAAAAATGCCTGCAAATAGAACGCAATACATAAGCATGCCTAGTATCTACAAGTATCAACTGCCTGGACTAGACGACGATGCGCAAGGAGACACAATGGGAACATTGGAGTACTCCTTGGAATACAACATGAAAACGAAGACAATGAAAGTCGGCATTATACAAGCGATGGATCTCATAACTCCACCTGGTTCTGGAACGGTTGATCCTTTCGTAAAGGTCAACATTAAGGGATTGCTTTCTTTGGAGAATCCAAAATCGAAAGTCAGGGTGCCGAAAAAAGGTTATACAACAGACATAAAACGAAACACCACCTGCCCCGTTTTCAATTCTTCCTTCCTCTTCAATGTGCCCTATGAAGACCTCAAAACCGCCGTTGTGCACTTTGTAGTCTATGACTCCGATGAACCCAATCAGCCTTTGGTAGTCGGAGAATTTGATGTTCAGCTCAGCTCCCTGTCTATGGACAATTACGTTGGGAAGCCCTACGAGATGACCGGATACCTTATGAAGACGGTGGAGACCCACGATGACACCGGTCAGATTTGTGTTATTCTCACAGACGATCCAAGTGCGAACGAACTGAGTGTCAACATTCTGGATGCAAAACAGTTGGATCTTCCAGACTTCTACAGAAAGAATCCACCGAAAACGATGGTCTCAGCGACTCTTCACGTCGGTAATAAGAAATTGGCCAATAAGAAGACTGAAGTCCGTGAAGGAACTCTGGATCCCTACTTCGGGGAGACATTGAAGTTTCAGGTGGAGAGGCAGAAGTTGGTAGTGGCCTCGCTTACACTGAAGATCAAGTACAAGGGTCAGGGTGTGCGGTGGAAGAATGCCGGCAAGGTTGAGCTCGGCGCTCTATCACCGGACTTCTCCGGTCGAAAACAATGGAAAGTAATGCTTACCAATCCAAGGCGTCCTGTAGGCATGTGGCAACCATTAACCACTCCCGAAGTGTAGCTGTATGGTTTGAACTTTCCTGCTCAGTATTTAAGCATTAGTGCTATTTTTGTAAGTTGTTTTTTAATGAAATCAAAAGCCTTCGTCTATTTATGGAACTGATTTACGCTAGTTAGAAATTTCAATGAATATTATTTTATTAAATCTGTCCAATAGGTCTCAATTTTTTGTGATACATGCCTCAACAAGGTAAAAATAGACTGATTATTCCAGGTTAGATTATTTATTTCCAACGATGTTTCGTCTTTGCCATTTTTGTGTGAAAATTTCCGGTAAGCATATGCCAATAAGATTAACGGGAGGGTGTGTGTGCAATTTAAAAAAGGAGTGTTGTCCTAGCCAGTAGAATATTTGGTAAAATAACAAACTTCTCAAAGTCGAAGTCAGCATGGATAACAGCGAGTGTGCACCTATGCTGAGGATAGAATCGTCTGATAATTGCATATTCAACAGGTTACAAAGTTTGTCTCTCATGTTTTATTGCCTAAGTCTGAAAACCCCGTTTGGCATAAATAGCAAGACATCCAGTACGTGGTCGATGTCATGTAATGTTAATGAATATTTAAATGTTTTTATGATTCGGGATGATTACTAACGTAGAATTTTAACTTTTGAGTATATGTCCTCAAATGAATGCCTTTTACGCTTCCTGAGGAATCCTCACTCGATACAAACTGACTAAACGTTAAGCGTGCATTATTTTCTATAGAGTGTGATGTCCTTATACATATATTTCACAGATGTAAGCTGGAGCTGGCAGGTTTAACATCTTAGGCTACAATGAACTTGGTGGAAACATATTTATTCGGGGATTTGAAATCGCCTTTTTAAAACCTGCATATACATTATTTTATGTTTATCATATGAACATAACGAATCTTTCGAACAAATGCGTAGCGGAAGAAATAAAGGTCATCTTTTGGTTTTAAGGGTGCTTCATAATTGATAATATTTTTAAGAATTTACAATGTCCATTTAAATCGCATTTATTTGTGTTTATTCATTAGTGCCCCTTATTTAGTAAACGGCATAGTCCACGTCCATTAAAAACCGTATAAGCGTTGTATGTTATCTTTCGTACGAAAAACGGGAGTATAGGATATTCCTTTTACCGAAGGATTAAGCTTGTAGATATACATCTGTAACGCAACTGAAGCGGCTGATTAGAGGCAAACTATTTTGGGATTTGAAAACGTTTTTAAAGACCTCAACTTAGCCTTCTTTCGAACCTTACGTTTTAAGTAGACATAATTTGATACTAACTACTAAGAAGAAAAAATATTTTTCGTTTTCGCTAAACAATATTTGAATATTAATGACATCAACATCTGTTTAAAAATGCACACTAAGTTTTAGTCCTTTCTACTGAGAGAGGATTCTTCGGAAGTTTGAAAGTACGTTCATTCAATAGCATGCGTTCTTTCGTGCCCGAAATATCTTAGAATTATGCTCCACGCTAATAAATATTATGGTTCCAGTTCAGTTCATTCTCTATTGAAAAATTATGCGTTATTCAGATGCTATAACTCTGTTCACAGTAGTACAGCTGTATTTACTTATATTATAAAAACAGTGCCACACAGAAGTAGAGGGACTCAAATGTTAGTCGATATCGTTAAGTTAGCCACCCTAATAAGCCACCTCAGTGGCAGTATCCTGTAATACAAGTTACAATGCAATAAAATCTACGGAGATAAAGATTAAATGTTACTTTAGAGCTAAGTCTGAAGATGGACCCGTGTTAATTTTTGTGTTAGGGTTGATACTAGGACTAGGACACAGGAAAACGAATTTTGTCTGAATAGGAACGCAATGTCTCGTCTACAATATTCAAGCTATTACCCTTTTCCTCCCTTGCCGAGCAGAAGGAAGTACATAAACGCTTCTTAAATTAATTTTTTTATCCAATATGCTGCCCTTTCATCTGGGTTTCAAATCACTACTTTTTCCTTACCCTTTCGTTTCCTATCAAGGCTTTAGATGATAGCTATTTCCCGAATGTTCACGCTGCAGACTCGATATGAATGCTTAAAGCTGAAAGCTTTTAAACATTTGCACGAATAATCGTTTGGTGTACATGCCTGCAAGAATTGTACACGTGATATACTTCATCTTCAAAGGAAAAGAAGCAGCATTATTCACGTCATAGCGTTTTGTAGAGGCACATGAAACATTATTTGATCGCCGCTTAAGGCTTCACGACCCCACGCTGTGACGCAAAAGTGGTAAATTCTGAAACAGCTGTGTAGCGAAATCTGCCTGACGTCTCCATTTTTTCGGTAGACTAACTACACAACACTAAAGGCCTAAAGGTATTAAGCCAGAGCTTGAAATTTACAAAAATGAAATTGATAAACAGCCTGTGTTTTAATAGTGATCAACCGTAGAAATGTTGTGGGACATGGAGGCGGCTTTTCTTTTAGATTCAGAATAAGCAATTGCCTTCCAATGATTCCAAAAATAAGCTATTATCACTTGAATAAGTTGTTGTTCATAAACGCTGTGAGAAAATCAAACGAATCCTGTTCGTGTGCGCAGGTTGAAGTAATAGACAGGACTGTCACATGACGTCTTTATGCTTAGACATATCGATCCGCAAGCCGCAGCTGGAGTGACTCTCGAACACGTAAAGCTTCGCAGGCGAAGGCGACATGAGTCAGTGGCAAGGATACTGAATGTTAGGAGCCGTCCTAACGATGCACACAGCCCTGGCGAGCTCTCAGGTTACGTTCTTGGTCCGCCCCCCCACACACACACACACACAAAGACCGTGCTTCGGGGCAGCACAAAATTTAGCTTATGGCGACATTACAACACTGAAGACTGCGAGAACGAATTGCCGTAACATCATTAGAACAGAAAATCCTGTCAGTGAGCGATGGCCTTTAAACGTCTTCTTCTTCGGGCTGACGGAATGGGTATACCGTGCTACTGTTGCTAGACTTCTTAGTCGGTTTCCAGATGCTTGTGTTGCTTTTACAAATTGCTTGTGCATGCCAAATTAAAAACACCGCAGTTCTGTCATTGCGTGTGTGACGAGTCAAGGCACGACTATGTAAGAAACCGATGATCATAAGTGTGCAAAGAGGGAAGGCGAAGAAGTGAAGGTGAACGGAGCGATGCAGATTTTGGCAACAAAAGTTTGGCAAGTGCATCGCATATACCCCTACAAGTGGTGGAATTAGTGGTAGTTAATGCGGGATGATGGTAGAGGTCAGTGCGTCGATGTTGGAGGTTTCACAACCTTCAGCCATGGTTCGTCTGGTCTGGTACACGGGGTGGCGAGACAGGGAAGTTCCGCAATACCGAGTATAGATTAGCTGTTCTTTCTATGTCGTGGACTCCAGGCAGTGAGCCGGACATGCAGATCATCGTAATGAGCGAACAGATTGACGTATTGCTTGATGCTAGCCGTGCTAGATTGTCAACATTCGTACGTGTTTTGTAGTGGCCACAACGATCAATTCTGTAGGGTCTCTACGGAAACGGTGGTCACACTCCAGGAAGCTTGCAAACAGAACTGATCTGGGGTCACGTCAGTGAGTGGCCGGCGTATGTTCTTTGATGTGGTTCCCAAGACTTCTGGTTGTATGATCAACGTGAACACAAAGGCAGTTGGCGCATGGTATGCAATAAGTTGATTCGCTTAATTGTTTTTTGGGCAGATGGTGCTTTACTCGGAAAATGGTTATGGGTGAGGAGAATGCAGGCTTACAGGTGATAGAGAGGCCAAAATGAATTAACTGTCACGGATTATTTCGGAGTTTGCTTGGAAAGAAGGTAGGGGGAGAGAGAGGAATGCTATATTTAGAATGGAAAATCCTAAACTTTCAGCCAAAATGGCTCCATTCACGGAGAGAAAAGGATAAGGTAAATAAGAAGTCATGGTAAAAGGTCATATAATACTCAAAATTAAAGTTTTACATGATATCGACATCTACCATGGTCACAGGTCAGCTTTCAACTTCTCAATTTCCGCTTCTTCGCACGTGACGTGGCGTGCTAGGAATGGGAGAACAGAGTGCTGATATGAGGAGAAGAAGAAGGCTCGATCGCTGGTCAATTGCTTCCTGGGACTTGCATGTTCGCTTGTATCGGCAGAGTGCGGATATGACAATGTACGGCAGGACATATGACGGAGGCCTCGGCGCCTTGTACGGAAAAACTTCGCAGCCGTTAGTCCAGAGTGGAGAGGGTGAGCAACCTCACTAAGGATGCGATCAGCAAATTGCTTCACCGTTCTAAAGTGGCGCTGTACTATAATGTCAGCTAGAAAAACATAGGAAACACCGGCAGCTGAAGAATGCATTCGGAGGATATGTTTAAGAGTGACCAGGTCTTTTGTAAGTTAAGCTGGGAAAATAACTGGAGAGTGGAACTTCCGTAGCATTATACCTGCATTAGAAATTAGGTTTTGTGCTAACCGCTTGCATCTAAGACAATTCGCCAAAAAGCTGGTTAGGTATGCGTTAGGATCGGGAGAAATTATATAAGCTCGATGTTTCATTCTGATATAGGTACCCGCTGTTGGCATAGCCAAAGACCCAATAAAATTAAAGGCGAGCACAGCTGCTTTAGTGGACCACAGGGTGGTTCCTTTTATAATTAAGTATGATTTCTGTGGACGAATGTTTTGAGTCTTCCATCACTGTGTCGTTGTTTATTGACGTCTAGGAGTGGGCGAAATTTTGTGTTGTCTCTTTCTGAGTAACTTGAGCAACTTGAAAAACGCAATTTGGTAACAATAAAGTTGATATATCACCTGGGCTTCCCCAAGCTCTATAATTATGTCCTACAGGGCCGGTAGTCTTAGTATAATTTAATTTTTTAGTTTAAGTATTTTACCTAATACACCCCTAGATCCAGCATTTTGTCCTATGGAAACGGCGGTTATAGGGGTTTTATGAATTGGGGACTGCTATATGCATTATTACTTTATTGTATTTAGGAATGTTGTTGATTTATATCTGGAGATTTTCCTAATCTCTATTACCGTCTAA